TTAGGGAGATACTTAGACTGTGTTTTCTCTGTTTAAACGACCTGTTGCATACAATATAGACCATATGACTTTTATGTGATATCTGGGGCTCTGTTGTATGCTGTTCAATTCTGTCATTTTTCATTGCTGCCCTTTATTTTCTAGTCTATAAAATATGATTTTAAAAAAGCTATTTGGGCCTCACATACTTATAAAAATTAAATGAGCCAAATATGCATAATCAACAAAATAGTCCAGCATGCTATTTTAATAATCAAAGTATTTCTTTTGCTGTTAAGAGTGATATTTAAAGCTCAATTCTTTTCTGGTCAAATGACGTGCAAAGGAAATAAAGACATAAGTCTGGGGCTGTGGTTAATGATTCTGGGTTGTTTCTTGCCAGCACAACCATTTCAACAGTTCCTGCTGCTTGGTGAAATTTCCTGTTCTCTGTTCCACTGCTTTTTCGCTATGGATTAAAAGCTATGAGTAAGCTGAATAGCATCCAGCAAACAAACTCTGAAAATGCTTGCTGGTGTTTTACAAGACAACAGAATCACTTATAGAACACCCACCCTGAATCAAGGTAATTGATCAAGGTAACTGTAACCCCTTCACATCTTCCATTTCATTTCTCCTTTGAATGGGCTAGTTGTAATGAGAATACAATTGAAGATGAGATATAAGACCATTTTTATGATCTGGAAGCACTTGGAACTTAGCATTCACAGAATGCAATGCACTTAAAGAATTATTCTTTCTTAAGTCTATTCTCATCCACTGAAGGAAGTCCAGCCTGATATGTTTGCAGAGGAGACTCTGTGTATTAAGTGTGCTTTACTCTTCTAATTCTCTGGCCTGGCTTCTTCTCCACCATTATGATGAAATAGCTCCTTAGACCTGCTAGAAACCTCTAGACTTGATCTCCCCATTTCTTTTGTAATTGCCAGTCACTTATGCTTACTTGAAATTTATCCCAGTAGTCCCAGGTTTGTTTTTGCACCTTGACCTTAGAACTTTCAAGATTGGAATGTTTGTGGATACTGTCCTATAAAAATTTAATAATGTGAGAGAAGAAATCTACTTTCAATAAATAAAATACAAGGGAGGGAGGGAGGAAGGAAAGCGGGGCGGAGACAACTTGAGTAATGATGTCATCACATTGGCCTTGGTGCCTGGGAGGGCAGGAAAAAGGGAAGGGGCGATTTGGGGAGGATGAAGTTCACAGAAATAAGAAAGACTAGCGGACCTCAGGGGCTGAGTTCATGATACAATGAAAGCACATAAAGACCACGCTGTAGTTAAATCTGTCCGGCTGTCTCAGTTCTGTGATTGAGGGGAGGCCACGGGATCTGTTTTCGTTCGTCCATTAAATGTTTTCTAGATAAGATAAATCCAAATAACGTCTGGCTCGTCCTGTGGTGCCAAGATCCACCAGCCACACTCGGCTCTCTCAAGTCTGCCCTTTTTTTATTTTCCAGTTTAAATTTAGATAAGAAACGAGGTTGCTTCACAAGTCAGTTCCAGGTCCCTCTCCCATTCCCTCCCCTCCTCCCGTGCCCTCCCCCAACCCCCCCGTTATCCCCTCATTCCCCCAGGGAGGGTGAGGCCCTCCATGGGGGTGTCCATAGTCTGTCATTTCATATAGGGCAGGGCCTAGACCCTTCCCCAAGAGTTCAGGGTGAGAGTGCACCTCACATTGTTCTATGGGAGTCCAAAGTCCCTGTGTATACTTGGGATGGGTACTGATCTGCTGCCCAAGGCTCAATAGATTCCCTAGGCCTCCTCACTGACACCCAGATTCAGGGGGTCTTGATCAGTCCCATGCTGGATTCCCAGGCTGATGCCTGGGATTCAAGAGTTAACCTTTGTCTGGTCAGCTGTTTCTGGGGGTTAAACCAGCCCAGTCTTAATCCCTTTGATCATCAGTCCTCCCTCTCTGTTACTGGCTTTCTTGAGTTCAGCTCAGTACTTAACCAAGGGAGTCTGCCTCTTCTTCGATCAGCCACTAAATGAAGTTTCTGTTTCCCAGACTCTCTGGCCATAGGATTGTAGGCTGGCACTCCCCTGATCTATGTCTAAAATCCATATATGAGAGAGTACATGCCATGTTTCTCTTTTTGTGACTGGGTTACCTCACTCAGGATGGTTTCTTCTAGTGCCATCCATTTGCCTGCAAATCTCATGATTCCATTATTTTTTTCTGCTGAATAGTACTCCATTGTGTAGATGTACCATGTTTTCTCTATCCACTCTTCGGGTGAGGGACATCTAGGTTGCTTCCAAGTTCTGGCTATTACAAATAAAGCTGCTATGAACATAGTGGAACAGACATCTTTGTTGTATGAATGGGCATCTTTTGGATATATGCCTAAGAGTGGAGTTGCTGGGTCTTGTGGTAAGTTTATTCCCATTTTTCTGAGGAATCTCCATACTGATTTCCAAAGTGGCTGAACCAGTTGGCACTCCCACCAGCAATGGAGGAGTGTCCCCCTTTTACCACATCCTCTCCAGCATAAATTGTCATTGGTGTTTTTGATTTTAGCCATTCTGACAGGAGTGAGATGGTATCTCAGAGTTGTTTTGATTTGCATTTCCCTGATGGCTAAGGATGTTGAGCACTTTCTCAAGTGCCTCTCAGCCATTTTAGACTCCTCTATTGAAAACTCTCTATTTAGTTCTGCAGCCCACTTTTTAATTGGGTCCTTTGGTGTTTTGGAGACTTGCTTCTTGAGTTCTTTGTAAATTTTGGAGATCAACCCTCTGTCAGATGTGGGATTAGTGAATATTTTTTCCCATTCTGTGGGCTACCTTTTTGTCTTGCTGACTGTGTCCTTTGCCTTACAGAAGCTTCTCAGTTTCAGTAGGTCCCATTTATTAATTGTTGATCTCACTGTCTGTGCTACTGGTGTTATGTTCAGGAAGCTGTCTCCTGTACCAATTCGTTCAAGGGTACCACCCACTTTCTCTTCTAAGAGGTTCAGTGTGGCTGGATTTATGTTGAGGTCTTTGATCCACTTGGACTTAAGTTTTGTGCATGGCGATAAACATGGATCAATCCGCATTCTTCTACATGCCAGTCTCCAATTATGCCAGCACCATTTGTTGAAGATGCTTACTTTATTCCATTGTATATTTTTAGCTTCTTTGTCAAAGATCAGATGTTCGTACATGTGTGGGTTAATACCCGGATTTTCAATTCGATTCCATTGGTCTACCTGTCTATTTTTGTGCCAATACCAAGCTGTTTTCAGGACTATAGCTCTGTAATAGAGCTTGAGATCAGGGATGGTGATGCCTCCGGACGTTGCCTTGTTGAACAGGGTTGTTTTGGCTATCCTGGGTCTTTTGTTTTTCCATACAAAATTGATTATTGTTCTTTCAAGGTCTGTGAAGCATTGTGCTGGGATTTTAATGGGGATTGCATTGAATCTGTAGATTGCTTTTGGCAGGATTGGCATTTTTACTACATTGATCCTACCTATCCAAGAGCATGGGAGATCTTTCCATTTTCTGAGGGCTTCTTTAATTTCTTTCTTTAAAGATTCAAAGTTCTTACGATACAGGTCTTTCACTTGTTTGGTTAGCGTTACCCCAAGGTATTTTATGTTGTTTGTGGCAATTGTAAAGGGTGATGTTTCTCTGATTTCTCTTTCAGCCCTTTTATCATCTGTATATAGTAGGACAATCTGGACAGCTGAGAAGCAGAGATTATTTCCTAAAGTGGTGGGTTGCATAATGAGGACAATAAGAAATCATCAGATTGGAACAATGACCCAACCAATTTCTCCATCTTCTGTGCCTGCCAAATATCCAGACTCAGTGGGTTATGAGCAACAGATGATGTCTCTTGCCTTCCAGATAACTGCTATCTAGTAGGTATGAGGTGTTTTCTTGTGGATTTGCATTTATCTGATTAATGGTGTGAACATCTTTCCACACAGGGGTTGTGGGATTCCCAGTTGTTATCAGATTAACACCTTACCAGATACATGGTTTGCAAACATTTTCTCTCATTCTGTAGGCTGATTACCCTCTGTTTATGGTGACCTTTGTGGTCTTTGTGGTGCAGTTATTTCATTTGACACTGGTCTACTTGATTATTTTTGTTATTGCCTATGATTCTGGTGTCATATTTATGAAATCATTGCCTAGAGTAATATATTTTCCTTATGTTTATTTTCTAGGGGCTTTTTAGTTTCTGACTATATAGCTTTTGGTTTAAAAAGCTCATAATTAAGTTTTTAAGGTTCATAATTTTGAGCTGCTTTATTGATACAGTATAAGAGAAAGGTCTGCTTGATTTCTTTTGTGTGTGCATATACAATTTTCTCATATCTTGGCTGAAGTGACAAAATCAAGTGTTTGTATGATATTGAAAGAGCCTGAAGTTTCCCACACTGCAGGTGAAACTAAAAATCATGCAGTCAATATAAGAAATGAGGCAATGATTCTGTAAATACCATTAAAATGGAACTTATTGTGATCCAACATTCCAACTTAGAGGCATTTATTTTAAAGAAATGAAATCAGAATCTCAAAGACATTCTACTACAATGGCCAAGGCATGGAAGCTACATAAATGACCACTAACAGATAATGAAGAAAGTTTTATAGGGGCTAGGAGACAGCTCACTTGGTAAATTGCTTGTTGAAGTTTAATCCACAGTACCCACATTTTTAAAAACCCAAGAAGTATGTACTTATAATCCCAGTGCTAGGAGGGTTCCTCTCTGGGACTCAGTGGTTAACCAGCCTAGTTTACTTTGAAAGTTCTATGTCAGGGGAGATACTCTGTCTCAAAAGTGATACTGCCTCAGGAATGACGTCTGAGTTTGGCTTCTGGCACACAGGCACATATACACACTCGAATGTGCACATGCATGCATATTAAAATGTATACACACCAAAATGTGGTATACACACATATAAACATACAATGAAATATTATTTGTCCTTTAAAAAGCAAATTCTGCAATATGTGACAACATGAAAGAACTTTGAAGACATCAGGACAAATACCGGATTTTAATTTATTTCAAACACCTGAGAAGAGCCGAATTTATAGAATGAAAGACTGGACTGACTATTTCTAGGATAAATGGGGGGCTGGAACTGAGGAGTTATGAATCATTAAATATGTTTTAGTTAAGTATAATGAATAAACTCTGTATTTACATACAGCCAACAATGTATGTGGAACAATATGACTTTGGTCAAATGTAAATTACTATGTTCTTAATGATAGATTAATCATCACCTTCTGCTGAACATAATAAAAATGGAGTCTCTTCCACAATCACTAAGGCATTCTCACTGTCTGCCCCACCCACCACCACAAATTGTCACTGCCAAGGACTTAGTTGCTTAGTTGTTCAATGAATGCCTATCAAGGAGCAGTATGTTTGTAGTCACCTAGTCCTTTGTATCTCCTGACACAGTACTTATGACTTTCTAAACTTTTGAAATGTATGTAGTCTAAATCAAGTGATGTGGAACGTCCTTCTCTGTGCTGTGAATATATGTTTCTCTTTTGGTTGATGAATAAAGCTGTTCTGGCCAATGGACATGCAGGATTTAGGCAGGTGGGAAATCCAAACAAGACTAGAAAAAAGTAGTAGTCAGAGTCAGGGCAACTCCATATGAAGATGCCAAAAAAGAAAGAGATCCAGGAATCACCAGTAAGACAAGATGGTATGGAGATATACAGATTAACAGATTAATAGAAATAGGTTAATAATTAAGAGAGAGCTAGCCAATAAGAAACCTAAGCCATTGTCCAAACAGTTTATAATTAATATAAGCCTCTGTTTATTTATTTGGGACTAAACCACTGTGGGACCCAGCAGGATAGAAACTTCTGTCTACAATAAAGCAATTCCTTGAGTACAAAAAACTCATCAGCAACATGGGATGTAAAATACAATATTAACAACTCATAATGAATACTGAGATTGAATGCTGAAACCATTTAAATCTGTTGTGTTAAGTAAAATACATTAATAGGCTAACTTGCCCTATTCATATTTTAAGGTGATTTGTAGAAATGTTAAGCTTATACACAAGATCACAAATTTCAATTGAACAGTGTTGTATGGATGCTCCTGAGCGTGACAGCTCCTAGTCACATAGTGACATCAAAAGGGAGCCTTCCCTCCAGTGGAGTACTTGTTCTCTTGTGTGGTAGCATTGCAGTCAAAATAATATTCAACAAACCAGTTTTTCTGTCATTCCCAGCAATCTCAGACAAGCCCCAACACCTATTCAACAACTTCATGAATCAAATGAAACTGCTGGGTGAAGGAATCCCTGACAATAAATCCTCAGGTTGTTCTGTTCCTTTTTACAGGGTAGCCCTCCAAACCCCACAGGCAACCCTCAGATCTCTCCTCAGGCTCTTTCCAACCTGCTACAGCTTCTTGGCACCTCTGAGAGTTTTGAAAGCATCATCTTCAAAGCAACATCATAAGCTGTCTCCTTGGAACCAGTGTGAGGGGAGCAGCCCATGGAGTTCCAGTTCCATCTTCTTCTCTGGAGAAGTGGCCAGTGGACCTCCAGGAGGCATGGGAAGGGCAGCCATACTTCAGGACATAGAGTGTGCTTTTAGAGACAAGTGTTGCTTGGAGAAAGAGAAAATAAAAATTCTGTCACAAATGTATTCTGGATCCAAGGTGAAGAAGGCAGAATAAAACTTTCCTAAGAGTGGAGAGTCCCTCCCTCCATCAGATAACCCCGCCCATTGTAGGGGGAAACTTAATACTCTACCATTAGCCATGTGGAGTATTAGAGGCGCATACAGATGAGGTAATAAAAGGGCGGTTCACTGCACCGCTAACCACACCCACTTTCAGTGTGACTAAAGACGTACAAGGACATAGGCGGTAAACTACGTCACTAGCCAGGCGTGTACGGAAGAAGGAATAAAAGACTGAGCAGCAGAACCTCTCGCTCTCTTTTCAGCTTTCGGTTTGGTGGCAAAAGATTTGACTCATCTAGATTGCTTGTTTTTCTCTTGTGAGTAATTTCTACAATAAACAGTTACCTAGACTCTCAATAAGTGTGCTGTTTATTGTTGCAGCAACAGCCCATAAAGTTCACTGCCTACCAAATGCCAACTGGAATTCATCAGAATGGAACTAGAACCTTTAACACTTTTAAAAATAACTACCATGTGTCAGGTACACTGTTAAAGTAACAAAAAGCTACCTGATACACTACTGTAATGGTTAACTTCTTGGGCATTGAAATTAAATACATATAGGCTCAAATATCAGCTGTTTCTCACCAATGACTTCATCTTGGTAACTTTCTTAACCTTCTGAGACTCTTTTTCATCACCTTTATAGGCTTTGGTGCTTTTTACTTACATACTCTGAAGAAATAGGAGATGATGTGTATTAAGCCTTAAATATGATCCTTGGCACACAAGAAGTACCGATATCTACCTATTATTACTTTTATCCTTATCACTAGGCACCATCCAAACCAGCTCCTAATTAGCATTCCCTGACACATCATTCTCATTTCTAACCATTTTAAAGGCAGCATCTTCCACATGACTCTTAGTATCTTTGATAGCATGTACTAATGTCTCTAATGCTTGTGGGAATATTGGAATATATATAAATATGTATGTATATGTATATGTAAAATATCTTATTAATATTTTTTAAGAATTGCGTACAGTCTTTGGTCTTGGTCACTCAAAGAGTACTGAGTGTTGGTTCCATCTCATGGAGTAGGTCTTCAGTCAAAACAGATGTTGGTTGGTTACTCCCACAGCTTTGTGCAACATTGCCCTAGCATATTTTACAGGCTGGACAGCATTGTATACCAAAGGGTTTGTGATTGGGTTAGTATTTATGATTCTCTTTTGGCAGCCTGGAGAACACCCTCCTGTATCAAGGTCACTAGAACATAGGGGTCAAGCTGGTAGGCACCAGCTCTACTTCTACATTTTCAATGAGTTGTGTGGGTGTTGTGTTCAGTAGTGGGGTCTTGGTGTTGGTTTGTGAAGAGTAATCTATTGTCTTAGCAACAACCTGAGTTATTTGGGAATTTCTACCATGGTAGCCCTTTGACGAACAACTCAGTTGAATATAACCCACTCCTGGTACTGGAAGCTTTGTTTGGTGACAGAGATGGCCAGTTAGGACTCCATCACCCCCATTGTTTAGAGACTTTGCTAGGATCGCCTTCAAATATTTTAGGAGGTTTCCACTGTACTAGGTTTTCACATCACCACTGAAAATTCCCCTTAACTCTAGCTGTCTCTTCCTGAATTTTGTCTTTCATACCATATCCCTTCCCCCTCCTTGAATTCCTTCCCTCAATTTCATATCCCCTCCATTTCCCCAACTGATCTTTCCATTCCTGTCCACCCCTGCCAGTCCACCCATAAAAATCTGTTCTACTTCACCATGTTCCCCCCCCATCCCCATCCCTTCCTCTATACCTATCCTCTCTGGGTCTCAGATTGCAGCTTGGCTATCTTTTACTTAATGGCTAATATCTGCATGTAAGCAAATACATTTCATAGTTTTCTTTCTGGGTCTGTGTTACTCACTCAGGATGATTTCTTTCCGGTTCCATCCATTTACCTGTGATTTTCATGATGTCAATTTTAAACAGCTGAGTAATACTCCATTGTATAAATGTACCACATTTTATTTATTCGTTCCTCTGTTGAGGGACATTGAGGTTATTTCCAATTTCTAGTCATTAGAAATAGAGGAGCAATGAATGTGGTTGAACAGGTGACCTTATGGTAGGATGAAGCATCCTTTGGGTACATGTCCAAAAGTGATATAGCTAGATATTGAGATAGATAATTCCCATCTTTATGAGGAATCCCCACACTGATTTCCATACTTCTTGTATGAGTTTGCAATCCACCAGCAAGGTATGAGTAGTCTCCTTGCCCCACATCCTCACCAGCATAGGCTGCCACTTGTGTTATTGATTGTAGCCATTCTGACAGGTATAAGATGGAATCTCAAAATAGTTTCGATTTGCATTTTCCTGATGTTTTAGGATGTTGAATCCTCCTTTAAGTGTTTCTCAGCCATTTGTGTTTCCTCTCTTGAGAATTTTTTTGTTTAAATGTATACCCCATTTTTAAATTGGATTATTTGGGCTTTTGATGTCTAGTTTCTTGAGTTCTACATTTTTGGATATTAGTCCTCTTTTGGATATAGAGTTGATAAAAATCTTTACCCATTCTAGAAGCTTTTCAATTTCACATGGTCCAATTCATTAATTGTCAATCTTGGTGCCTGTGCTATCAGAGTTCTGTTCAGAAAATCATCTCTGTACCAATGAGTGTATCTACTTTTATGTCAAGTCTTTGATCCACTTTAGATGTGTTTTGTTCAGGGTTTTAAGAATGAATTAATTTGCCTTCTTCTACATGCACACATCTATTTGTTGAAGATACGATATCCATAGGTATGTAAATTGATTGATGGGTCTTCAATTAGATGCCAATGATCAATGAGTCTGTTTTTATGTGATATCATGCTGCTTTTACTATTATATCTCTGTAGTACAACTTAAAATCAGGAATGGTAATACCTCCAGAAGTTCTTTTATTATTCAAAATTGTTTTAGCAATCCTGTTTTTGTTTTGGTGTATGTGTGTGTTTCCATATGAAACTGAGAATTGTCCTTTCAAGATCTGCGAAGAATTGTGTGGAAATTTTGATGGGTATTGATTGCCTTGAATCTATAAATTGCTTTTGGTAAGATGGCCATTTTTACTATGTTAATCCTACTTGATCCATGAACATCAGAGATATTTCCATCTTCTGATTTCTTCATTTCTTTCTTCAGTGATTTGAAGTTTTTTATTTTTATTTATTTTCCAGTTTAAATTTAGATAAGAAACAAGGTTGCTTCACAAGTCAGTTCCAGGTCCCTTGAAGTTTTTAATCATACAAATCTTTCACTTGCTTGGTTAGAATTATCCCCAAGATATTTTTACATTATTTAAGACAATTGCAAAATGTATTGTTTCACTGATTTCATTCTCAGTCTGTTTGTCATTTGTAGAAGGGTTACTGATTTTTGTGAGTTAATTTTATGTTCAGAAAGTGTTTATTGTCTGTAGGAATTCCACAGTGGAATTTTTAGGGTCACTTATATATACTATCATACTATCTGTAAATAAAGATACTTTGACTTCTTCCTTTCCAATCAATATACCTATGGTCTCCTTCAGTTGTTTTATTGCTCTAGCTAAAACCTCAAGTACTATATTGAATAGGCATGGAAAGAGTGACTATCCTTCTAAGAACCAGATTAGACATCCCAGAGAGCTGGGATAAAACCAAATACTACTGGTATTAAAAGAAAATAAAAAGTAGTAATAAAATCATTCCTAATGATATTCTTCTATACTTGTAGGTCAGTGACTTATTCAGCCATCATCAGAGAAGCTTCTTTCTGTAGCAACTGGGAAAAAAATACAGAGACCTAAAGCCAGGCATTACACAGAGAGTGACAGATCTTGGAATACACAGCTCTAAATGGGATGTCTCCATCAGATCTCTCCCCTTGGAGCTCAGGGAACTCCATTAAAGAGGAGGCAGAAAGAGTATAAGGGTCAGAGAGAATGGAGGACATCAGGACAAGTTCCTCTAAGTCAGCTGAGCAAAGCTTACATGGATTCACAAAGACTGAAGCATCCAGCACAGGGTCTGCCAGGGTCTGTAACAGGCACTCTCTATTTTTTAGCTTTCAGTTTAATATTTTTATGGGACTCCTGAGTTTTCTTGGGCTTTTTCACTTCTGTTGGCTTGCCTTGTCCAACTTTGATGTGACAGTTTTTGTTTTATCTTATTATATTTTATTTTGCTATGTCTTGTTGTTATCTCTTAGCAGCCTATTCATTCATAATGAGAGACAGAAAAGAGCAGATCTGGATGGGAGGGGATGTGGGGAAGAACTGAGAGAAGTCGAGGAAGAATAACTGCAATCAGAAAATATGAGGCAAGGATTGATTTTCAATAAAAGAGAAAAGAGAATTTCATATCATGTGTTTTGATTATATTTACCCTCAGTTCTTCCTAGATCGGTCTCACTTTCCTGCTCACTCAATTTTATTTTCTTAGAGAAAAAGTATTCACTCTCAATCTACATGTACCATAAAATGTTTGCTTCTACAAATATTTGATTGCATCTATGTGTCTTTTGAAAAAAAAACAATCCCAAGTATTTATTTTCCTTTCTTGGTGTCTGGCCACCATACTGGTGCTCCTTCTCCACAGCAACGTGCAACCTGTAGGAGGGCAATATTCTACTATTTAGGTGATCACTACATGTCTCTTCCCTTTCTGATTAAGTCCATTTCCATAGAAACAGAAAAAATGTACTTCTTTCTCCTACTGTAGGATATGTGGGTCAGAGAAAGAATCCAATTTCTTATTTTCTTGATATAATTAAACAGTCAAGCTATGGTATATCAAAGTATGTTGATCTCCTGCTTTTGTCTCTAGAATATATAGATGTGAACCACACCTTGAACTTTTAACCTCAGAAATGTATTAGTTATATTTATATTGCTGTTATAAAATACCATGACCACCAGCAGCTTGGACAGAAAACTGTTTGGCTTACACT